GCCCGCCAGGCCACAAGCCTCCAAAGCTTCCTCGCCGCCTGTTTTCGTGGAGGGTTAGCAGCCCATTTCATTGCAACACACTACCTCCCTTTTCTTCCACTCGGGTGCGTCGGCCTTGGGAGAGCACTAGGGGAGAAAGGCGTCCCACGCGGGGAAAATATTAAGCGGCGGGGACCGATTAAGCTCTCTCCTATGGAGGGCTGTCAACCCCGCGATGCTTTCAGTTTACAACCGCGGGGCCTTGCCGGGAAGGAGAAAGCGGCTTCTGCAGTTCTCCGGAAGAGGGAGTGGGGTGGAGGGGGGGAAAGTGGATTTTTTTTTCTTTAATCCGAACTTGACGGTGTTTATTGAGATAACTGGGCAACCGGGGCCCGAAGGAATGCGCCCCGAGGGTGGCGAGTCGGAGCGGAGATGGGGGGGAGGGAAGGGCGAGTGGGTCTCTTTTGATCCCTTGGAGGAATGGGTGTCTTTCGCTCCAGAGCTTGTTTGCTTGCTTGCTTGCTTGGCTCAACCCAACCATCTCGGAGAGGTTCGCCCTCGAGAGACAAGAGCTGCAGAAGGTATCTCGGGCGCTCCTCCGGTTCCTCCTCCTCTTCCTCCTCCTCTTCCACGGTTTCCAAGCCTGAATCCAGCGGCTGCTCAGGAATTCTGGGAGCCCCCCGTGGGTTCTGTGGGTGTTGTGTTTGCTTCCACGGATCCCCCTAGGCCTAGAGTGGGCAAGTAGATCAGGTTGGGAGCTGTTAAAGAGACAAACGGAGGACCCTTCGCTCGACCTTCAGCGCTTTTCCTGGAAGAGAAGAGTAGGGCTAAGGTGCTGGCGGCGGCGGCGGCGGCGGCCGAGAGGGGCTACCCGGGTTTTAAGACTTTGAGCCCGTCTCTCAAATTAGGGGAAACTTTTTCTATCTTTTTTTTCCCAGGAGCCCCCCCCCAAAAAAAGAAACGGGGAGCACAGAATTCGGAATGCCCCCAGTTTATATCCAGATCAGATCGATGCGGGACTGCGTACGACTGTGTGTGTGTGTGTGTGTGTGGGCTAAAGGAAGGACGCAAGAAGAACTGTGCAACCGTGCGTGTGGGTGTGCACTGATGTGCAAGTGTGCGCTAGGGGAATATAGGTAGCTGGCTGCTCGCCAAATGTCAGCTTTTTCTACCTAAACAAAACTGGCAGAAATCGCTTAGAAAATAATAATTCTTCCGTGTCATATTTAAATTGAGGATCGATAAAATCTCCAGAGGGGTTCAGGCTACTCTTTTTTTTTTCCCATGCACGTCACAGATGACAATTTAAAAAAAAAAACGCAGCTTTTTAAAACGGCTCTTTCCTTTCTTCTTTTTGCCTTGCTTTAAAGACAATGAGATATATATATATATATATATATATATATATATATATATATATATATATATATATATATATATATATATATATATATATATATAATATATATATATTAATATATATATATATATATATTATATATATATATATTTATATATATTCAATGATACTATATAATATATATAATTGAATAATATTATACATATATACATATATATATATATATATATGTATGTGTATATATATATATATATGTATGTATATATATATATATATATAATATTCAATGATTATATATATATATATATATATATATATATATATATATATATATATATATATATATATATATAATATATATATATATAAAAATACACACACACACACACACACACACACACATATTCAATGTTCACATAGAAAATAACCTGGACACGCCACGTTCTTTTAAAGACTTTCTACTGTATCTTTTATCGAAGGGCAGGATTTTGCCTTGTGAGCTGGCTAGATTTTTGCCTTGCTACCTAGATCACTTGATGCAGAGTCTGGGCAGAATGCATATAGAAATGTAGCCAACGCATTCGGCTTCTGTAACTGGAAATTCTTGTACCCAAAGAAGAATATTCGAAAATATAAACACCCCCCCCCAATATCTCCCACCCTCCTCTTGCAAGGTTAACTGAAAATTTATCCCTTCCCAGAATGGTGCCCATTTCAAAGGGGGGGGGGCACCTTTCCTGGTTAGGTTTTGAGAAAGATTATAATAGATAGATAGATGATAGATAGATAGATAGATAGATAGATAGATAGATAGATAGATAGATAATATTCTGGATGCAAAGGCATGTCTTTCATTTGATTTTATCTGTAGAGGATCTGTAGTCCTCTGTCTCTTTCATTATCTTATGTTCCCTGACAGAGCACGACTTCCAGAGGGCACTTGCACCAAGATCTTTGCACCATGAGCCCTCAAGGATCAATGCCCCAGGACAACCTGCAGCCCTGAAGGGAAATTGCTGTGGTTTTTGTTGTGTTTGGGATAAGAGGATCCCTGGTAAATAAAAGTGGCAACTTCCACTTTTCAGCTGCTGTCTGCGTTTTCATTCCATAAATGCTTCTTTCAAGGATATTTCAATGACCTTGCTGGCTTCGTTTAAGTCCTTTTCTACTCATAATCTGCTATTCTTGACTTGGATTCATGCGTTAGTCCCTCTTTTTATGCTTAATGTTATGCTTTCTGTTTACTCTCTGTATAGGTATAGATATATAGGATATATAGGATATACGTGTGTGTATATCGTATATACACACATACGATAGATAGATAGATAGATAGATAGATAGATAGATAGATAGATAGATAGATAGATAGATAGATAGATAGATAGAATATAACCTGTCAGTCAGTTGGAAGGTTGATTCTTTGCAAAGAAAATTATATTTCTTCAGTGCAACTAAGCAAGGATTTCATATCCTCCAATGTTTCATATCCCCCTTTGGAGCCCTCCACTCACCCAGAGGTAAAATCATCAAAGCATCCTAGGTACTAACTCTCCCCCCCCCCAAGATTCAGAGAGGAAAGATGAAGCCATTAGAGAATTGTGATTGACAGACAAACTGAACTCAAGGCAGGCCAGAGGACACATTAGGTTCCTTATAGGACAATTTCTCGTCCAGAAAGTGCAAGGTTGAAAACAGGAGGAGAACTGTGGACAGAAGGGGGTTAGTACAGAATCTGCAGCAAGACTCTTTTCAAATCTTGAATGCAGAGACACACGCAGAGACACAAGGACACACACCAGCCAAACCTTACAGTATTTCTATTTCAAGTCTGCTCCCTATGGAATGAAATACAGTTTTACTACTCCGGCCAGGGCAGGCTGAGGCACACGATCAAGACCTCCTGAGTTCATATCCATTCAGGAATCTTTAATCAGTTCCATCCAACAACTTTTCCAGGGTCTTTTTCAAGGGAGAAGAAAGAGGGGAGGAGGACAATAAGCAGTGAATAAGCACTAACTGAGTGGGGCGGGGGGGGGGGAATGGCTCTGCCTGCTACTTTGCCGCCTACCCAAATGCACCTTCAGATTTATTTTTTCCCCCCAGCAAGCTGCCTAAAAATAAATCCACTGCCTGCTCCTGTATCAAGAGGAGACCTGAGCCCTCAGCTTTGAGTGTGTCCCTAGTGGTTACTCCATCTCCCTGGGGCACACGGTTCCCCTCCTTTTCTGTCCTCTGAATGTCCCTTTTCTCTCCCCCCCCTTCCAGCCCCATAAGCAACCACTTTCCTTAAGCCTTGCAACCCCCTTCCCTCCACTGGGTTGAAACTGTACCTCACTTCCAAGCCGCCTCTGCTGTTATTGTATTGGAAATCTTGGTCCTTCTTTGACAAAAACCCACAAAAAAAGGAACAACACGGATTGTTGTAGTGGTAGCTGCCGCTGCGTCTCTTGTGGTGTTCTCTGGTATTCTTGAACGGAGGGAGGGGGACACACACACACACATATCCGTTTTGCAGATTTCTTTTCCAGAGCCAGGGACTAAAGCTACCCTTCCAGACCACTAAGGGTAATAAACTATACCAATCACCTTACTCTACCAAGCCAAGGTTATATATTTTTTTAACACACGCACGCGCGTGCGTTCACCCCACCCACCCACCCCACACACACAGAGAGACACAGATACGTGTTTTCAGTGAAGTTCTGCAAATCGATTGAATCGACGGAAAGTTTCAGGTATTTTTAATGCCCGCACCCACCCACATACACCCACATTAATCTAGGAAAGCAGAATAAATTGGTTTTAAAACCAACACACACCCTAGCTTTCTGTCTTCAGTTGCAAAAACAAACTCCCTCACTCCCACTTATGCCTCATCACTGAAACTTACTCGTACAGTTTTATTTAGTGAACGACACATTCATGAACAATCAAACGATCCTCGTAAAAATTTTATTGAAGGACATAAAAAAAAACATCTACCACTACTTGCCGAATAATGTAGCCTCTTGGGAAGAGGAATTGCCACTTTTTTGGGGGGGAGTTCTTGCTATTTTCCAGTCTCTGGGTTTTTACAAAGTCATCTTCTTCTTTCCTTCCAGAAAGTGTGTGTGTGTGTATGTGCGAGCGTGTGCGTGTGTTTTGTGCGTTTGTATGTATGTGCGTGCATGTGTGTGTGTTCACCCAGTCTCTCCCTCCATACATACACATCCATGTATGTAGAAACGGATGGTTTTATCTGGCAAAAAAATAAAATAAAACCTGAGGATGTATATGTATATATGTATATCTGTGGCTATACACATACACATACATATACATACATGAATGTCATTAAAATTCAGGAGCCGGTGCCGGAGAGGCTGAGAGCCAAGCAGGATCACTCCGTGAGGACCTTCCATCGGCCACCTCCCCTTTTAAAGATCTTCCATGTAATGTATCCATTATCGAATACAAGCTGTAGAAGCAGAGCGAGTAGACAGAGACAAATTGCGTCAAGAAATAGTTCCTTGTGCTACCTTGCTACACCAGCTACCTTACACCCTCATTAGCAGCAGGGCTATGGAAAAGCCAGGTCGCCGAGCCAGCCAGCCAAGCCAAGCCAAGCCAAGCCAACGAGCGAATCGCCTTTCAGCTTACGACACGTAAGATCCGACCGCTGCTGCTAATAACGGCATTATTTCAAGAGTTTGATGAAAACCCAAGTCGCATAGGCATTATTTAAAAAAAAAAAAAGGAAAAAAAAAATAGAAAGAGGGAGAGGGGAGAGAGAGAGAGAGGGAAAAAAAAGACCTGCGGATTGATCTACACTGTATTTTGGGTAAATATAATCACGTGGGACCTCGGAGCCAATGGCACGCTAGGAAAGGCTGAAAAAATAATTACCTGCCCTGATTGTTCTATGAGAAGATAAAAAGTACACATACAGTTCATACAATAATCTTATGAATGTAAAAGAGGGGGAACAATGTCGGCTTCGGGTCCCATAAGCAACTATTATGTAGATTCTTTGATTAGCCACGAGAGCGAAGACTTGCTGGCGTCCCGGTTCCCAGCTACTGGCTCTCATCCTGCTGCAGCCCGACCGTCAGGATTGGTACCGGAGTGTGCAGATTTTCCGTCCTGCAGCTTTGCCCCCAAACCGGCCGTTTTTACCACTTCGTGGGCTCCCGTGCACTCCCAGTCGTCCGTGGTTTACCACCCGTACACCCACCAGCCACACATTGGAACTGACACTCGGTATATGCGCACTTGGCTGGAGCCTATCTCCGGCGCGGTCTCGTTCCCAGGTTTTCCAGCCAGCAGCCGGCACTACGGGCTTAAACCCGACGCCTTCCACGGCCGCAGGGACTGCGGACCGGTGGATGGACGTAGTTATCCGGATTATATGTATGGATCCCCGGGAGATCTCAGGGACAGAACCCCGCAGACTATACCCTCTCCGGAATCTGAGGCCGTCGCTTCCAACAAACACAAAGAAGAAAAGACCGAATTGGACCCTAGTAAGTCGAAGTCATTCTTGTTTACAACCGGGAAGGCATTACAGCTCCCTGGCACAGTGCTCAATAAAAAGGAATTACCTTTACTGTTTAGAATTCTTGGCGTCCTTCCCTTGGATCTCCAGCTACAAGGGCTGACAAACCTGGAGGAGAGCTGGTTTATTTGATTTTTTTGGGGGGGGGAAAGGAGGGCGGCAGGGGGCGAAGAGGGGAAGGAAAAAAAAGGGATTTGTTTTTAATGAGCATTATTATTGTTACGGGATCTGGATGGGTCCTTCGTCCTCTCTCTCGCTTTGGCTTTCCTTCGCATTTGGGATACTTTTGTTTGTTCCTAAACTAGGCAGAACCTGCTTTGCCCCCACTCTTCCTTGCATTTTAGTCCTTCTGACTTTTGGAGGAAGAAGCCTGGCAAAAGCTATCAGGGGTATGTGGGAGGGGAAAGAATATTGGGATGTTGATGTGTACTGAAAAGCAGGGGGGATTGCCTGAGAAAGCCTTAGAGGAGGAGGGGGGATGAAAACAAAACAAAACCCCACTCCAGACAATAATCCCCCAGATTTTTGCCTCCATCCAGAACGTGGGGGGATCGAAAAGTTAAGGGATAGCAATGGAGAGGGGGACAGCAAATAAAGGAAGGCGATGAGAAAACAAATAATTGGATTTAGGGAAAGTACAAATCGCTGTTGGGAGTATAGCAGATGGGGAGAGAAGTCCAAACGTTTGAAAGAACAGTTAATAATACACATCATTTTCTCTCCCCCCCCCTTCCATTTTTTTAAAAAAGGAAAATGAATTCTACAGTGTAACTTACTAGTAAAGGGACTTTAAAAAAAGAGAGAGAGAGAAGAAGAAAATAACCTTGAACACTGTTAAAACAGCTGAAAGGGTCTCCAAGGGATTTGTGCTCTTGCTTTGCTTTGCTTTTTTTTTTTTTAAAGTAATCATTCTTCTGCACACTGAAATGTTCATTTCCTAGTGGACATCTGCCATTTAAACATGGGAGATTTTTTTTTTCTAGTGTGCAGTCGGTGGGAGGTGAGAAACAGAAAGCAAAATATGTGGAATTAAGATGACCCTAGTGCCAAGAAATAAAGCCCACTTGTTTATTGATTCACATGCCCTGCAAAAGAGATGTGTGTGCATTTTTTTGGTGCTCATCTAGAGTTAAAGAGAGCTGGTCTCTTCCCCTCCTCTTCTGCTCTATAGACAGATTCCCATGCCAGGTGTGTAGAAATCCTTTCAGGCCTGATATGCTGGTTCATTCTGATCATTTTAATTGTATTTGTGCCACATAGGCAGATGCACTTATACAAATTCATGGAGAGAGGGAGAAAGGGAGAGAGGGAATAAGAGGCACAGATCATAGACTAAAGGAGACTACTATCTATAGCATATTCATTACAACCAAATTTCACCCAAGAAATAATTAATCTAATTAAGCTAATACCTTCTGAGAAAGTTGTAAAGAGGGTCTGCAAGGGACAGTGTTTCATTGCTCAGAAAAGGGAAGAGAATTAATTTTTTTTCTGCAACCATTAGGCTTCTTCTGGACACTGTCTGAATATATATATATATATATATATTCTCATTCCTTTTAAAATTGCTGGCAGCTCCTTCAAGTGGGAAGTTATAGGGAGAGAGCTGGAGAGCCAAGGTTGTAAACAGAGTTTATGGGCCTATGAAATGGTGGGAATTTAGACTTTTCATGATTGTGTTCTTGAGTTACCCTTAATAGAGGCATATTATTATTGTTGTTGTTATTACAACCTCTTGGCCCTACTTTTATTTTAGAATTGCAGTTTGTGGGAGAGAATGATCGCTAAATAAAATCAAATGATAGTCAGAAACAGGGCGCAGGACAGAACTAGTTAAACTCACTACTGTTTAGTGCCTCCCTGCTTGCACACTGATGAATACAGTCCACGCTCAGTTCCTATAAAAGAATAGATGTGCCCTTAAAAATCCTGAAGGTCACTTCAGGCTTGAGCAGGGGAATGCTCGCTTGTCTAAAGAGACTTTTTAGATAGGAGAACTTTAGATAAATACTAAAATTATAAGGATGGGATATGAATTTAGGGCATCTCTATTTGAAGGTACTGCCATCAATAAATGCAGATCTGGGTAAGGGCTAAATGAATAAACAGAGACGGGTAGGTAAATAAACAATCAATAATAAATTAAATGTCCCAATCTTTATTTTGCAGATAACCCTGTTGCAAATTGGATTCATGCACGTTCTACAAGAAAGAAAAGATGTCCTTACACGAAATATCAAACGCTGGAACTAGAAAAAGAGTTTTTATTCAATATGTACCTAACTCGGGACCGCCGTTATGAAGTAGCCAGGGTTCTTAATCTCACTGAGCGCCAAGTCAAAATCTGGTTTCAGAACAGGAGGATGAAAATGAAGAAAATGAATAAAGAGAAAACCGATAATAACAATAATAAAGAGCAGCAGTGAAACTGGCCACATCCTTCCAGTCTGTGGAGAAATCAAGGCGCTGGTTTTTCCCAAGAAAGAAATTGTTCCTGACTTTTTTCCCCTTAATGTGCTGATGAGTGTTTAGAATTAGTTAAACACGGCAAACCTTTCTGGAACAAAAATGAGAGAGAGAGACAGAGACAGAGACAGAGGGAAAGAGAAACATAAAAAGTGCTTTTCTTTACAAAATGCAAACACACACACACACACACACACACATACACACATACACATCCCTAACAATTGCAACTAAAAATAAACTTTTTTTTTCTTTTCAGAAAAAAACAACAAAGTACTTGAATTTTTGGATTAGTATTTTATTTTGTAAATTAAATTTATCCAGTGGTTTTTGTTTTTTTTTGTTTTTTTTTAATTATTATTTTATGATGTTGTGGTTGCATATTTTGTACAATGGAAAGAATAAAAGTGGGTGGGGGGGGTGGAAAGAAGGAGAAAGGAAAAAAATGGTGGTAGGGGGGAGTGATTGCTCAAAACAATGTTTCTGTCCTCGTGTCGAACTGGTGTACTTATTTGTGTCTTCTCTGATTGTCACAGAACCGTTCTGTAACACTGTTATGTTTTGCTATCGTAGAACAGCTTTCTGTAAATATATACCTAACGTCACCCAAAAAAAAGGAGGAAAAAAATCCGTCGGTAATCAAGGTGTCTTTTTTAAAAAAAAATGTAAACTCCTATGGAGGAATAATACCCCCTCCCCCGAGTAAGTTGTAAAGGAAGGAAAGGGCAGGGAGACACTGTTTTGGGATTCTTACGGATACAAATTCTGGAAAAAGAGGTCCATTTAATTACCGCTGGTTTCCTTCGGAAAATAGAAGACCAGAATATCTTCTCTTGGGAAATTGTAGGAAAAGAACAGATTTTCGGCTTCCATTATTTTTACCATTATGTTTACCATTATTTTTATTTTTATTTTCCTTTCTCAGTCTCTTAGCCCCTGAACCTTTCTCCTTGTCTCTCAATATACCAATATCTGCCTAATGTCATGCTGGTAAAACAAAACAAAACAAAACACAAAAAAAAAATAAGAGAGAAGATTCGGGTAAAAGGCGGCAGGGTGCTCTGCATTTTAATTTGGGGTAATTAATTGTACTAATTTATGACCCTGGGCAATCAAAGAATGTGCACGAGATAAAATAAGGGCCCCAGTCCGGTTCTGCTCGCAGATAGTTTACTCTTTACTTTTGTGATCGCCCGGAGACTATTCTATTGGAACGCTTTGGGATTATCAGCGAAGTGCCAAAAACTTGTTAGTGCCTCGCTTGGGGGCCCAAGCAATTACGAATTAGGTTCGTAATGTACCACCACCACCACAGGGGAGGGGGAGAAAAAGAGGAGGGGGGGATGGTGTGTTCCTAATGGTAGTGTTAGGACTGAATAGCGAGAGAGCATCATCTAAATAATAATAAAAAGCTTAAAATGTTATAAAGCCTAAGGGAGTGGAATTCAGATCGGAAGGTTCCCCGCCCCCCAGCCCCTTGGCCCCTTTTAAAACCTCTTTCTCGGGCAGGGAGAAAGGGAATCTGGGAGTGTTAAAACTCCGCGGGTCTCTCTGTTTAGGAACGAGTTAAATGACACGGGGCCCGGCGGGAAAGGTGGCAACGCGAGGAGGGGGCTCTGGGATGGTGGAAGGCCAGGATTTTCTACTTTTTCATAGGTCATTTAAAAATCTTTCCTACAAAGGCAGGTCTCCTGTTGCCAGGGCCGTTTAAATGAAAGTCAAAGGGTTTTTATTTTATTTTATTTTATTTTATTTTTTAAAAAGGGGAAAAGACGCCTGTGAGATGCTTCCTCACAACTTGTTTATAAAGCATTGGTTTTCTTGAAAGAAGGAAGAAGCCAAATTACTTCTAATTTTTCTAATGGTAAACAGATCGAGGCTTGCAAAGATCCAAGCCTCCATAGAAACGAACAACAAAATAAATATGTGGTTTTGTTTTTTTTTTAAAGGAAAAAAAAAAATCTGGAACCTTTGCCCCGCTGATGTCCTCAAACGATTACTTCGTACTTTGTGTCTGCCGTTTATGAAAATAAGTTTGCAGGCTTGTGTGTTTATCTAGGTTGCATAAGACCGGGGGAGGTAGGACTTGGGAGCAGGAAAAGAATGCTTATCCGTTCGAACAAAAAAAAAAAAATGTAACAGCTAAGCTTTAGCTTTGTGCAGTGTTTTTTAAGAGGGTCCGAGTATACAGCAAATGCGGAAGGGCAGGAAAGATCGAAAAGTTCCGTGTAAAGGGCAATAAATAAATATGTATAAACCCCCTCCCCTCGTTTTCCTTTTGTCTGCTATAACAGGAATGGTGGCGGAAGCAATTTAGTAGTTACAACCCTGTATTCAATGTGAATTTGAAAAGATAAAACAAAAAAGAATATCCATCTTTAAAATCCTTCCTTCCCTCCCACCCACCCTCCCTCCCTCCCTCCTTCCTTCCCTCCTTCCTTCCTGCCTTCCTTCCTCCCACCTTCCTTCCTTCCTTCTTTCCTTTTCTCGCCATCTCTCTGATAGACTAGTGTCCCTTTTATTAACTTTGAGCCTTCCCCATGCTTGAAAATCCTTCCAGTTCCACCAGACCTCATTTTCAAGATGACTAAAGATGCAGCCTCTTTCACCTTTCTCTCTCCCCCAGCCCCTCCTCCCCCCTACCCAATAGTCTTCAGCAGAGCTGAGCTCCCATTGGAGGTAATGGAGAAGAAAAGAATGTAAGTTATGCTTCCTTTGTTTCCATAAGACTGTTGTTCTCTCTCTCCTCCTCCTCCTCCTCCCTCCCACCCTCCCTCCCTCCCCCTCCCTCTTTCTTTCCCCGTTTCTTTCTAGCTTGCTTTGTTTTATGGAGGAATATAGTGTCAGTTTCTGCACAAGACTTCCACGTAAAATTCAGGGCATCTCCTTTCATAGATGTAATTTAATGGCAGGCATGCATGTGTATGTGTGTGTACATTTCTCTCTCTCTCTGTGTGTATACATTTTCCCAGAAGTAACTGGGAATAACTTACTCAAATATGCATAACAGGACTGTATCTTCAAGCATCTTCACCCAACAGGGTCGAATGTGCAAGCAACCTTGCATTCGTTGGTTGCATTCGTCTCGCAGCAGCCAGATTCATTATGCTTTCTTTTGTTTCTAAATTAAAAATCCCGATAATAACCACCACCACCCGTTTCTCCGTGGTGTTTGCTTTTGTGGATGTTATATAGGGGTGGGGGTAGGTGGGGATATGTATACACATTGGAGAGGGAGAGAGGATAAAAGGAAGGGAAGGAGGGAAGGAAGGAAGGAGGGAAGGAAGGAAAGGAAGGAAGGAAGGAAGGAAGTTAAGAAGGAAGGAAGGAAGGAAGGAAGGAAGGAAGGAAGGAAAGGAAGGATATGGAAGGAAGGAAGGAAGGATATGGAAGGATATGGAAGGAAGGAAGGAGGGAGGAGGGAGGGAGGGAGGGAGGAGGGAGGGAGGGAAGAAAGGAAGGAAGGAAGGAAGGAAGGAAGGAAGGAAGGAAGGAAGGAAGGAAGGAAGGCTGGAAGGAAGGAGTGGGCCTCTCATCTTGTCCTTAAAAACAAAAACGAAAACCCCAAACAGAACCCTTTTGTAGTCAATACAAAAAAGACAGGATACAGCAGCTTTGAAAGCAGCCCAGAGGTACATTTCCGCAGCCCAAAAATGCCAGCTTTTACAACTTTGATTGTCTCCGCGCTGAATAGAATTGAACAAAAACAGGACCACGGAACCGGCTAGACGTCTGGCCTTAATCGTTTTATGGTTTTAATAAGGTGGGGTGCTCTTCCCTTTGAAACCGGATTATTGGAATGTTTTGTCTACCGGCAACCAACAACAGACGCGCATTTCGCCCCCTCCCCCTCGCCCACCTTCTGTCCCCCCCACCTCCTCCCCCCCCACCCCGCTCCCCCTCCTAGCGCTTGGCAGAGGAGGAAGCGCCCCCCCGTTTTTTTAAAGGTTGTGAACCGGGAGTGGGGGGGGAGGCGGCGGCGGGAGGGGGGAGGTTGACAGGAGAGGTGAGAGGGAAGCGGCTGCCTTTGGCTCGGGCAGTGGTGTGAGGGTGTGAGTGTGTGTGCCCGCGCGCGAGCGGGATACGTGAGGGTTATTGTTCTGAGAACTGGGGTTTTAGCTGAAGAGAGTGGGGAGGAGGGGGGGGGCAGAAGAAACCTGAGCGAAGGGTGCGCCTCCAATAATTAAAACCTATTCCCCCCCCTCCCCAAGCCTTGGGAATCTGTTGTTGACCGAGTAACGCCAGATGTTCTAATTCTTTCCTCCTTCTTGTTGTTGTTGTTGTTTAGGAAAAGAAATGGGATTTTACTCGGCTTTTGTTTCCTGTGGGACCTAATAGTATGCATGGAGTGGGAATGCGGGGTGGTGGTGACGTGGGGTGGGGGGGAGGAGAGAGGTTGGAGTGGAAGGGATGGGTGGAGTAAAAAGAAAGAAAGAAAGAAAAAGAAGAAGAAAGAAGAAGAAGGTGGTGCTGGGAGATCTATATTTTTGACCCTCCGAAAGGGGCTCAATTCTTTTCCCACCCGGCGCAGTTCAAGCCCCGTTCCGCAGGGCGCGTGCCTTGGGGACAAACCGGCGCGAGATGGCGCTGTTGCTCAATCTTTAGACGCCCCCGAGCCGCTTTATTTACCCAAAAAAAAAAAAAAAAAAAAAGCGGCGCCTTACCTCCAGGCCTTGACAGGACGATTTCAAGGAAAGAAAAAAAAAAAAAAAAAAGCCGAGCTCCAGAATCTGAGGGGGCTGAATGTGAGTCTGTCAGCGATGACTTGCAAAACAACGTCAAAGTTAGGTTGGATGGCGGACCGCTGGGTCTTGTATGTAAAAAAAAAAAAAAATGCGGTGTATGGATGAGCCCTACCCTTAAAGGCGTTATGAAAGGGTGGGGGGGGGGCAATCCTCTTCTGTAATTCCCTGACTAATAAACACACACGCACATTTTGCACAAAAGCTACTTCGTGTCTTTACCTTTATTTGTACGAAGGCAAAAAAAAAAATAAAAATACAAATCTGTGCAATAAAGGAGGCGAGCAGTTAACGTTTTATAGCCGGAACCGAAGCATCGCAGAATCCAGTTACTTATAATGAGAGCATATGGCGTAGTTTATATGCTATATTTCATCAACATTTATGCACGTTTGAACCACCCGGCAGAAATAAACGTGGCGTCCTCTATGAGCGTTTAAAAAAAAACAAAACAAAAAACAAAATGATGCTTGCCTTTCCAATAAAATAATGCGTAGGATGAATTTGATTAGAAGTTTTCCCTACTTTTCTGTCTTTTTGGTGCCTTCTCTCTCCTGTGGCTTCTGCTTCCTAGTATGACAAGCAGGTTGTGCTGTGCTGCCTTTCTCCTTTTTCTTTGGGTATGGAGATAAATCTTTTTTTAAAAAAAATCAAATAAAAATCTGTATGACTGAGTGAGATGTATATAAGGACCAACATTCTATCATCACAGAACTTTCTAATAATAGTATATAAGAACATATGTTATACACACACATACCACAACACTCAATATATTGTACTAAGGCAATAAGACAATTGTGCCAAAAATTTAAAATTAAAAAATGTTTTGATTTCCAGTTCTGGTAAATTATCCTGTTGATGACGCTGAGCTTTACTCTACCAGTTAAGACAAGTTGAAAACCCCAAAATTGTTATGCTATTTCAGAGTTGCTGAGCTTGGCTTCAGGATTCTCTGATTTAAGATCTGGTAGGGTTTTTCTTGCCTCCAGTGTAGGAATAAATGTAGAGGTCTTTTATCATTTACAACCGTATTTGATATCATGTGCTGATTAAATAAAAAAAAATAGAAAGAAGAAAAAGTAAACCAAGTCTTAGTGTTTTGTGGGAGGGAAAAGTGAGGGGATCCGCTTCACCCCAATTTCTTGCACCATTCAGACCATTCGTTGTATTGAAGAATGGTTGGCTCTTGTTTAAATCTTCTCTTTTTGTGTGTGTATCTGTGTGTGTTGAGAAAAAGTATAATGAAGGGACACCTTGTGTGATAGCTGTTCCTCTGATTTCAAAGGATTTAGGAACCACTGCTGTTTGCTTCACGAAAATAAAAGAAAATGTGAGGGCTGAATATTCTCAGAGATGGACTCAGTGGTTTGCTCTTTCAAATCCAACTCAATCTTTATTGCAGTCATAGGCCAACCTAACTTTGCTTTTCTGCACCCTGCCTAGCACTTTCGATTTCCTCCCCCCTCCCTTCTGAAATTGACTTAGTTGCCATTCTCTGGGGGAAGAGAAGAAGAAAAGAGAAACACTATAAAAATTTGGAGGGATAGAAGAAAAATTGCTCTGGTGAGTTTAATGAAAGGGCCTGGAGGACAGTTAATTTATTCCAGTGGCTTTGATATTTCTTTTTAATCCTTTTTTTTTTTTTTTGCTTTTAAAAAAAACACAGGAAATATTAATCCGGCAAACTGTAGAAAGAGAGAAGGTTGCTGATTTTTATGCTTCTGTTTAATGGCCTGAGCTCTTTAATGCAGCCATTTAAAAAAAAAAAAAAACACACCGAAATCTCCCAACTGAATGCTTTCAGCCAATGGTCTTCAGCCAATGGTCACTGTGGAGTGGAAAAAGTATGGAGGGGGTGGTGGTGGAAATGTGGTGTGGGAGAGGTTTGCAAGACTACACGTTGGAAACATACCACATGCATAAGATATGTGAACCATTCCACAACCTACTATAATAGACGGGATAAGTCCTGGCCTCCGTTACCCAAGTTCCTCCCCTGTCCCCCAGGAGTATCCTTTCACACATGTATATATCCCTTTCCCCTTATACATCTCTTTCCATTACTCAGACCTGATGGATCCTCATGGACCCCATATTCATTTTTCCTTCAAGGGATGCCTTGAGGACCTCTTCACCCATTTATTGGGTGGGTGCCACCCCACCCAATAAATGCCTATAAACTAACTATCCCAGCCATCTTTGTTTTGGGGACCAAACTTGTATGTTTAAAAAAAGGGGGGGGGAACAAACACCAACATTGCCTCCATCCACTTGGGGGTGGCTGTTCCTCTGCAATGGGACTTGTGGCCCCACTCTTGAATTCTGACTCACACACCCTCCTTATGTAGGGACATTTCCATCTTTTGAAAAGGGTGGGTGGATGGGAGGGAGGGAGGGAGGAGAGTTGCTTTAACCAAGTCCTATGGCCTGCTCTGGTTGTCTGGGAATTTCTCTTCTCCTAACCACTCTCCCCAGTAAAAATGATCCGGATTGGAGTTTTCTACCTATTACCTGT